CCCTTTCCTTGTTTGTAGAGAGAAGAGAGAGAGAGGGGGAGGAAGAGAGAGAGAGAGAGAGAGAGAGAGAGAGAGAGAGAGCAGGATATTTCAGATGCCACTACGTTCGCGTCTAAGCTTATTGCGCCGAGGCAAGAGCGAACTTCTCGAATTGGCCTACTGCAACTTCCTACTTCAGCGCAAAGTGAAACAAAAGACGTAATTTTGAGGGGTGCGCGCGCGGTCGACCGAGGGAAGGAAAAAGTACACGCATCGTGGTTTCCGGCTACTATCACTACTATTATACTACTGCTATTACTTCCTGTATTCACCACCGGAAGGATTTTATCGATCGTCGCTCGTGTAAATTTTCTCTCTCGATCGATCGCAAGACATACAATATATATATATATATAAAATAATACAGGCAAAAGTACAGGAACGGAGAGGAAGAGTTGGAAGAGGTGGGGGCAAAAATTTAATCGCGAAAAAGGAGAGTACAAGAACAAGTGCGATAATCGACAATTTTTCTGGTGAACAGAACAGGTGTAAATAAGAGGTGTAAACATCGTTAGATAGGTAGGCCAGATAGGTGAGACAAAGAGAGAGAGAGAGAGAGAGAGCAATGCAGAAGTCAGTGGTGTGCGGGCATTCTGACTCAAGAACAATGCGGTGATTGTGCATTTGCGAACATACACACGTGGAAGGGATTCGAGGCCATTTGTGCGTTGTTCAAATATTTGCGCCGGTCAATTATTTTCGATGCTCGAATCGGCCAGCACAAAGGGCGTCCGTATTATTACATGGCGAATAATGGCTGACTCCGCATCCGTTCGTGTTTCCTCCTACGGAAAAAAAAAAAAAACTTGCGAAAACAGTACGAATACGAGTTTCTCGATACGTATTACCGTAACCATTCGAGTTTCCATACTCGTCCCGATCAATTATTCGCCACGTAACGTAATCGAATCGTAACGCATGGAATTTGTGCAGCTGGTCGATCGAGCGGCCTCGGGGAAACGATTCCGGGAACAGTTGTTCCCTGCAAGGGAAACAACGAGGTTGTTGGTGTTCTTTTCCGCGGACTTTTGGTACTCCTCGAGTGCTTCCATTTCCAATGCGGCCGAACGAAATAACGAGAGGGTTATAAACGGGGAAACGGGGAAAGTGTGAAGAAAAAAAGAAAAAAGAACGTGTCGGTGCATATATGCGTGTGCTGATCAAAAGTGAACGAGCGAGTTGAGTGACGTTCTCGTTTGCAAAAATTGTTAAGTTCGAGGCTGCTGGCTGGTACTCGTACAAATTCAAGATGAAGTGGTGCTACGCTCGAAGCCGAATTTCGCAAAAGTGGCTGGTGCCCTTTCATGCAGAATCCCTTTCCTTCCGAGAGTACCGCGATCGCTCCACCGTTTCCGTGTCGTCGAACTTCCAAGATGTATTTCTTTCCCCAACTCGACTTTTTTCAACTTTTTCCCCTTTTCTTATTTTTGACCCCTTGATCGTTCGACGATCCTTACGAGGATCTACATCGAGTCACGGGAAAATCAACAACACTCGTACCCTCGTTTTTCTCGAAAGAAAGAAGAGAGAGAGAGGATTCGGGATCGCGGTATCTCGTCGAGCTCGAAGATCGGGAATCAGTGCGGTTTCACAGATGGTGCGTTTGTGAGAGATAGACAACTAGACAAAGTACGACGTATGATACGCCGTGGGTGATAACGCTATCATATTGTGCGGTGCTCAAGTGCGTTGGTGCGTCGCGTTGCTGGCTGGGCGGTTGCTACTGCGGCTGCTGCTGCTGCTGTTGCGTTTTCGTTTCGTTACGATCGTTGGACCCTGATTACCACCGGGTCCAAACCTGTTCTCTTTTTTTCTTTTCTTTCTCGTTCGACCCATTCACCGCGCGGCTATCATCCAAGCGTACACAAAAGTTTAATCGCGATGTTGTCTCTTTTTCATTTTCACCCCGACGAACATTCTTCCATTTCGAGACAATCGATAATGATCGAAATTTTTTTTCGACGACAAAGACTTTCGAGGATCGATCCCATTCGCGAGCCAATTTTATCGATAATTTTATATCTCCTCGACGAGGGCGAGGGTAAAAAAAAACAGTGGGCAGCCCTGGCCGACTGACTCATTCGTCGCGCGTGTTCGTTCGTTTGAATTAACGCTTCGCGAATTGCGATGGCTGCTGCGGCGGCTGCTGCGGCTGCATTTATACGTGATCACACAATACCAACGATAACAATAATAATAATAATATATAAAACGTAGATATGTACAGGCTGGTTCGTGGAAACGTTCGATTGCGACTAGCTCGTGATGCCGAAAGATAATAACTCGAGGACACCTGGAATCGCGATAAAAATCACGATCTTTGGAAATAAAATGCGCGACTAGATTGTACATCCGATTGGACAAACGTTGGACTACTAATCGAGAGTTTTTCTTCATTCGGAGGAAGGCCATCGAACGTTTCATCGTCGAGATGGACCAGCCGATGCACGGCAAGATAAAGAAGAGAATATTCGGCAAGATAATAACAGAATAATAATACTAATAAGATGGTGCGTTGCGAGTGGTGCAAAAAAGACAGAGAGAAAAAAGAGAAAAAAACAACACGGAACATAAAAGGTGAATGGCATTGAAGAAACATTATAGTGCGATCTCGTCGATCCTTGCAAGTGTGGTGATTTTTTTTTTTTGGTGATTATCCTGATTGATCGGTTCTACTTTACCACGAACGATCAACTCGGCCGTCCATAGGACCTCGGCCACCGAATTGCGCGCCATGCAAGTATAGTTGCCCGAGTGCGCAGCGCTCACGCGCTCGATAACTATGGTACTGGAATGGGCGTCAATGTTGGTTACGCGTAGCCCGGCGGGTGTCTGCGTGTGTCTGGGACCGGTTATCCCGGTGTTCCCGAAGCCTGCAGCTGGACTCGGCCCGGCGATCGCCTCGCCGTCCTTGGACCAGGCGATCGTGAACGGAGGATCGCCCTTCTCGACCATGCAAGTTACCTGGGCACGCACGCCCTCCGACAGATCCTTGTTAAAGCTAAAGGGAGCTATCGTGGGTGGAACTGCACAAAAAAGAAGAAAAGAATAGATTCAAAGATAGGGGGCGGGGGTGTTGGGTGGCGGGCCCACAAATGGCGGCCCACCCATTTCCGCCAATGGATACGACGACATGGATCGTCTCCTCCCTTGGTTTCCCGTCTCCTCCACTTTCGGCCCCATCGTGTTCGCACTCTCTTGTGTTCCGCTCCCTCCTTGTGTTGAATGATCGATGCGCGTCTACTTGCCTCGAAAATGTTCCAAATGTTCGACGCGCTCTCCCGAGATTATGTATCACGATTGATGCGACCGGCACAGGAGAACTTGCGCAATTGTTTTTCGCATGAATTTTCGCGAGTAGTCGTAGGTTTTTTTCGCATCGGCAGTTTGGTCACGGGGATCGATCATGCTTGAAACTTTGAAAGCTTCCCTATTTCTTTTCTCTCTCTCTCTCTCTTCCTCTCTATACGAAAAAACCTCATCCCTTTCTGCCGCTGGTCGCGCCTCGAAATTCACCTCTTCGATATCAAATTTTATCTCCGACGAACGAGAGAGAGAGAGAGAGAGGAATCCCGGTGTTCGAATCCTTCTCTCATTATCGAACTTCGTTCGTTCGTAATGTGGTTTTGACTACCGTTAATCAAACGTCAGACAAAGAGAGAGGTAGAGTGCGAGAGAGAGAGAGAAAGAGGGGATTTCACACGCGTAGCTTCGAATGTCCACATCTCGGCTATATATGTATATATATATATATACAAACCGACGTCCTTTGAAGGATATTACGTCCATTTAATTATTAAAGCGGACAAATCTATCGTTCCTTGGTACGAATCCAACATCACGAACACGTAGTTTCCGCATTACGGAACCCTTAATAGATGCCGGGCCAGCGTAATGCGATAACATCAACGCTGCTTATCAACTCGGCTGCGCGTCATTACGCGTACGCCGTTATACAGGCATACATATATATATATATATAGATAGTACAGGATCGTATTAACATTGACGAAGTCAGAGCGGGGGAGAGTTTCGAAGCGGTTAACGCGCGCCAATCGATATCGGCCCGTTAATGAAATAAAGCGACTATTTACGTTAATTAAGGTTATCAAAAGGGCCATCCCACCACGATTCTCCTTTATCCCGATTTACCCCACATAACCTCTAAAACTCTCGTCGAAAGCTGATCCCTATCCCTCTCTCCCTCTCTCGTTATCAGATTTCTTCGTCTCTGTGCTCAGGATGAGCGGCATTGTACCGACCGAAATTATTTCGTTTCTCGAATATTTTACCGACACACGACTGTTCCAGGTCTCGACTCGAAAATCGGACGTAATGCCGCGGAACGACAATAATAACTCGCCTTGTTGGCTCCGTCAGAGAGAGAGGGGAGGAGAGAGAGAGAGAGAGATGTACACGAGCGGAGCCGGGATATTCAGTGCCCTCGAGGTATTAGAACAGAACGTGGCGGTTGTTTGAGAATAATTGAGAAACCGTAGTCGGGGTTGGGCGGCAGATAGCGCAATGTTACATGAGTAATGCCCAAAGAGTTGCCACCGGCCTGTGGTATGCAGGTGCACCACGCGTACACCACCGATCCACGTTTTCTATACTCGATCCTGTGTGTGTATATAAATATATATATATATAGAAAGAGAGAGAAAGAGAGTACGTACGTGAATATCAACCAGAGAAACGCGACAGTTCGATAAACGAACAAACAAAACGAATTTATGTATGTTTGACGATAAACACGATTGTCCTGAATTGTAACAGATCGACGATTCTTGTGATACCTTATACGCGCTCTAATGGTTTGAAATAAAAGAAAAAAAAAAAAAAAGACAAACAAAACGAAACATTATCCTTCGATTCTTTTTTCCTCTCTCTCTCGAAAAATCGAATTGTAAGCTACGCTCTGCGTGTTTGAGGAATCGCGATATCGCGGTGCCATTCTTTGGAAAAAGGATTTAATCGGATTCGACTCGATGCGAAAACACGTGTACGTACGCCGATACCTTTTCACTCGAGATAAAACTACAAATTTATTCATTTCGTTTTGAGTATTAGTGTAAAAAAGATCGCGTACAACTGGATTGTCATAGAGCCGATACATCCAGACCCTTAATACATCTTACCAAAAAAAAGAAAATAGAGAGAGAGAGAGAGAGAGAAGAGAGGGAAAATGAAGATCGTAGGGGATGATTTACCGCGACAATCGGTGGTATAACGCACACATCGGTTGCCTCGCATACGCGTAGGAACAGCAGGATGCTGTTTCGGCTCGTGATTGCAGGACGCGTTAAAATCACCCTTAGGCCGTTCGTTTCGTACGTCGGCCAACAGTTTCGTTCGTTCCGCTTGCACTGATTCGTTCGTCTAGAGAGAATTCCAAGGACGATGATGGTGGTGGTGGCGGATTTTAATGCCGACCACCCCCGTCGACGAACGACGACGAAAACGAGAAAAAAAGCTCGGGCCGCGAGCAAGGAACGTGTGTTACGCAAACGAGCGTGGAAAGAGCAGAGCGACGAGGAGAGGGAGTATAGAGAGAGAGAGAGAGAGAGAGGAGAGAAGGAAGGAAGGAAGAAAA